ACTTACATACGTGCGGATGCCACTCCCACCTGTAAAATTTCCAAATGTAATTGTTTTCTTTATATGTTTTCTTGAAACAAATATTATCTTTTCAATTATTTATCCTATTACTCCGACTAGCACAGTTTTATTTCCATGAGTCATCCTGGAGAATGAGTTGAGATTACGTCTCGGTAAACGTATTGTAAGCTTTCCATTTGGAGCTGGTCTATTCAGAAGACCTGAAACCCCTTAGATAGCTTATGATATCGATAGGAGATGTTTTAGTAAGGTAAAAATATATAGATACATGGATAATGCCTTATAGCACACCGTGATTATGCGCATGATCTTATCATGCCGGCTTCATCTAGTTTTTCATATATAAATTGACGTGTAAAAGTGCCGTTTTATGGCCTATTTACAAAAATAAATTCATCGTTTCATTGTTTCATGATGCCTAGGTCATCTTTACCAGGCAAATTTAGGATGGATGAAAACAGCAATCTGTAATATAACTCCCTAAAAAAGGCTAGTTTCCGAAGGTCTTCCCTCTAAAACAACAGCATTCTCCATCTAGCGGGAATAAAGAAATGCGCTGTGTGTTATGTCTCGTTTTAATTCGATGTAAACAGCTAAATATCGAGTTCAGTGATATGTTTCATTATGATTACAACGATCCCTAGGAATGAGCTTGTCTCATTATATTCTTGTTATGTAATTGTTCGGCAGATTGATTACCTGATGGTAAGCAATCGGCGCCGCCCAAGCACGGCTGTGTAACAATTTTTATAAGTGTGTTGCCGACTTTTAAGGTATAGTATAATTTTTTGGAGATTTAGGGATTAGGGAGGGATGGTGGGAGGCAAAGGATTGGGTCTCCGGTAACCTCACCTACACGGCGAAACACAATGGTGTAACTAAAATTCGCGGACGCGGCGACGTCGCGCACGCTGCTCATGAGGAAGAACCCCTCTGTGGTTCGAAACTAGTAGAGCTTTTCTCAATATGTACACGTGAGTAACCTGCGATTTTTAGTTAATTTAGTATGTCTCACGATAGTTATTATAAAAATGGTGTGATTGTTTTACGCTGGTTTTCTGTATAGTGTAGACGACCCATTCGTGTCGAAGCATGATTCTCCCACAATTGGCCAAAATATTCGAACCTCTATATCTTTGTGTCTGATTTTTAAGAAGATGACATCACACATCTTTTGATCGCTTGGCCATGTGTGCTTAATTACATCATCAAATTGTCGATTACATTATGATACGAAAGATTTAGGTAGCGATGATTTAATTAACAAAGTCACATCATTGTTGTTATTTTTAAGAGGAGTTAGTTTTTATTGGATAAACCCACACATGTTTCCAATCATATAAACTGTAGGATAGCGACTTTATAGTGGATATTTGCCAAAAGTCCTTAGAGAATATTCACTGCTGGCTGATACTTAATTTCTCCACTATTTAATGGATGTTACTATCCGTATAGGTTAACTTTCCTCTTCAATCGCTCTGTCTATTAAAACAAAACGCACCAAAATCCGTTGCGTTATTTTAAAAATTAATAAGAGCATACATAGGGACAGAGAAAGCGACTTTGTTTTATACTATGCATTGAAGAAAATATTCTCTCTTCTATACTTACCAAGAACACAAAGACTAACAAAAAGGCAGACTGCACGGTTGGCGCGGTGGCTGGGCAACTGGCTGCCGCGCAACGTGTCGCGGGTTCGATTCCCGCACGGAACAACTCTTTGTGTGAGCCTAGAGATTGTTGTTCCGGGTCTGAGTGTGATGTGCATGTAAATCCTAATCCTAAAGTGGGGCAAAGTTTTTTCTTTTGATTTCCTCAAAAAAAAAAAAATACGATTTTCCTAAAAGCCAACATCATTTATGATTATGAACCATCACGATTACCCGGCAGATAAATATTTACGGGAGCTAACAACACGATCAAAGCTAGACTTGTATATTAAAACACAAATATTATTATACATTAATCCATTTATTTAAGTATTCGGAGATAATATAAATATGTTAGGCTCCGACTCTCACGTAAGCCGCGCATCATTCCAGAAATTATGGTATTTTGAATAACCGCGTATGCTTCCCGGCACGTACGCCATCGTAATGTGATCTTTACATTTGTAAATTAGATTTAAAGGTTATTATTTGTATGACGTAAATGTTGTCAGCAAACTAATAGATATTTAAATTATTTACCAATCCAATGGCTTCACCCCTCATGGAAGCAAACGACTGTCGAAACCGAGGCGCGGACACGCTGTTATAGCAGCGGTAAGACCCCTCTTTGAGAAATGGCTTGAGAGACGCCATGGCGTCCTCACCTTCCGTCTGACGCAAGTGCTCAGCCGAGAGCAGGAGAAGGAACAGGGGGCTTTTTAGTCAGTAAGAGTCTGACATTCTCTCTCGCCCTGCCCTGGCCAAGAGAAGTCATTTGATGATTTTCTTCTCACAAAAAAAGGGCTTCACCCGCGTAGTGGAGTAAAAGCCTATGTAATATAAGGCACCGCGGCCTTGGCCTAGAGAGAGGAGGCCTCGTGGGGGGAGGAGGAGGGGGGGGGAGAAGTCATTTGATGGTTTTCCCCTCACAAAAATGGTAGGTACTTATAGGCCTATCTACATACCTACCAAAAGTTCAACCAACCGTTTATGCGCAAATAAAAACAAACATACCAACATCCATAGTGAGAAAGTCACAAACTATCACATTAATAATATTATTGTGTATGATATTTTGCAACAAGAAATCAAGTCATGGTGTTGGGACGCAGATTAAAAAAACATGTCACCTAAAGTAGTAATTAAATTTTCGTAGGACATATGCCTACTAACCTTTTTAAATCGCATTTCTAATTTTATTGTGTTCTTTTTCTAAGACAATCATGGTAAACTCAATGTGGCTTTCGTCTACGAATAAAAAAACACTATCAATAATCCAACAAAGAAAAATAAACTTAATAAAGTTCCCGACGACATTAATTAAAACGAATTGTTTTTCTGTTCGCAAATTATGTTTCCTATTTCCCGATACTAGGTCAATACTAAACGCGCTTTCGTTGTAATTGTAATCAAAACATGTTGTTCCAAAGTTCGATATTTGAATTTGAAAATGGGACGATGGAACGAGCATAGATTTTTTTTGTGGTAATAGTTGTCTGTGTGCAATTTTCATTGAAGAGGTTTATATTTTTTTTTTTAGTGCTTTTTAATTTTTGGCTACAATTAGTATAAGGCAAGGCCATGTTTTCGGCAAGAATTGGTTGGCTCGACCGGATTGATACGACCGCCTCACAGAGAATCGGCGTGAAACAACTAAAGCGTTGTGTTCCGCCGTTTGTATGAGGTTCCCGGAGGCCCAATCCTCCTATCCTCCCCTAATCCATCTCCAATCCCTTAATCTCCAAAACCCTAATCCCCAACGCACCGTCGGCAACGCACTTGTATATTCTCCGTTGTTGTGGGTGCACATTGGCGGCGCCGATTGCTAATCAGTTTTATCGTTTACTGTCTTAAAATATGAAACATGCAAGAACTTAAATACATAAGCAAATAAATCAACAGATAAAATAAAGAGTGAGTTAAATTAATTACCGTAAGGACTCTTCCGGTCGTATCACATGAAAAATTACGTCGCGATTAGAAGAAAACGGCAATGTAATTCAAATTACTTATCTAACCGACATTTTTATGGAAAAAGTCGTCCAATGTCAATAACTAACGACTAGCTAGTAGAAATAATAATTAGTTTTTCCAGTAACATTAATCGCAATGGAAAGCAAGGGGCTTGTCGATTACCGCGTACCTACCTATGTACACACGATTACACCTTGAGTTACAAGAACCAGTTTATCATAGTCTCGCTTTGTATGCCCCTTTCATATATTGAACGTTCACTTTATACTGGTCCAAGTAACTTCTTAGACTATAAATAAAATAATTGACTTGGAAAGTGACTGAATTGAAAGTAGACAGATTCTGATAGAGTAATCTATGACGCAAATTATACTAACAAACTGGTTTGTCAGTTATTTTGTTGTTATTACATGACTAGAAGACAAAACAGGATAAATGTGGGCGGCGAAAAAATTAAAACGAGTATCCATAATGATCCTGGTTGAAGTGGCGCTCCATGGAACCTACTTACTGTGTCAAAAGTGGTAATTGACTACACAGTTGGCGCTGTGGCTGTGCATCCAGCTGCCGCACAACGTGCCGCGATTCCGATTCTCCACACGAAACAATTTTATTCTTTGTATGATCAAAAGATGTGATGTGATCCACGACACAGGAGAAAATTCTAGCGTAGAGCAACGAATTAAAAAAAAGAAAAGAGGATATAAAGAAATTATTAACACTTACCATTTTTAAAAATTAAATTAAGTACCGAACATAAAAAATCATTAAGCCATAGTTTATACATATCATAAAAGTCCGCCAAATAAAATATTAATTAGGCTTAAAACTGCTATTAGACTCACGAAATACACTAATCTATTCTATCCTTTAAAAATCACTCAAATTGGTAGATAAAGTTAGAAGAAATTGACTAGATTTCTGTATTTAATTCCCAACTATATACTACATATCGTCGTTGCGACTTTAAGACCTCTTATGTGTCACTTTTGGCAAAAACACTTTTTTACGCCAGTCTGTTTCACATTTTCAAGCTCTATCGAATGTAAAAACTCTCATGTGTATACGACGATTTAATCGTCATTTGTTTACCAATTTCAAGATCTACAATGTGCTTCCTAATAAAATGTTGGTGCTTAAAATATCTTATGTGTCAGTGGTACACATACGAGTTTTTAGTTCTATGCCACACTCGGGGCCTTTCGGCAAATAATTAGATCAAAATATCTTATGTGCATTTACGTTACGAAAAAAGCGGGTATTTTTTAAATTATTTACCTATGTCACTTTAGACAAATAATTTCACGGAGACGAGTGAGACAGATAAATTTTATGTTTACTGTCCAATCATAAAATATGAGTAAACCGCTCTGTCTAAGTGAGATTGAGTTATTAGTTAATCAACAAAATACGGGTGATTCTGAATCAAGTACCTACTTTATGAATTTGGGGAACCTCCACCGGGTGGATTTCTATTCTAGCGGTTCCCTTATTTCGCCAGAAGATTTGGGCTTAATATCTTCAGGATTGAACAATCAAGATGATTTTACTGAAGATTCATTTGATCAAAGTATCAGCATGCTCCATGCCGCTGAAGACCAGGGTATTTCGTCTGAAGATTACGTTACGAATACTTCATCTGATCATAACATCAGCATACTCCATGCCACTGAAGACCTGGGTTTTGCTTCTGAATCGAAGCAAGTGCTATCACCAATCTTTCAAAATTTGAGCGATAACAGTGATGACGATCCTGATTGGGTTCTAGTGATTTCGCAGAGGAGGCGGAGTTTTTGTCCGTTACGTAGCCAGGTTGAAGAACATTTGGACTTCGATGAAAGTATTAGGTCGCTGTCTGTGCAAGATTTGAAGAGAAACAGGAATTTATTTTTAAAACCACGAAGGATCTTGCCTTTTCTGGATGATGAAGATAGTGATAGTGATGACAATGTTCTAGGGTATCATTGCCCCAAAATATTGACGGTAATTCCTCTGCTGTACAAAGACCAGAGAGCCTGAAAGAATTTTAAAACCACGTTGCTCATACACATGTTTAGCTCCAAAATCTAAAAATTCTTTTCTTTGTGCTCTTGTATCCGACGAAGAACGTGGTAGGTTGATACTTTCAGATAATGCATTGTACTACAAATTAAAATTACAATGCCATAACTTCACGGTTTATAACGTTCTATCTAAAGACGTAACAATTTACTTTTGGCACGAAGCAGATGGTAATGTGACTGCTAATGAATTCACAACTTATTTAATAGACTACTGTCAAACCTGTGGCAGGTTTCCACAGTGCGCGTGATCATCATTTCTGATGGATGCGGGCACCAAAACCAGAACAGAATTTTGTCAAGTGCCCTAAGCGATTTGGCGCAAAGAAGGAAAATTTGTATCGAACAACTTTACCTGGAAAAGGGGCACACTATGATGGAAGTGGATAGTGTTCAGTCCACTATTGAGCAGTACATAAAACCACCAATATTCGCTCCCAGTGATTATATCACCCGGATAAAACAAGCTCGACCACAAAAGCCCTATGATGTCAAATCCATTCACTATGATTTCTTTCGATGATATATGATTTATAGATGGAATCGAACCTAAAATCCAAATACGGCCTGGCAAAAAGAAGGGATCCTGTCGTGGTGGACATTAGTGGTCTTAAATATTTATCTGACGGATCCGTATTTTATAGGGTATAGTGGTCCATACTTCCACAGCGAAGAAATAACCAAAGAAACGGTCTGGTATCTCCAAACCGATTGTGCAGATTTCCGTTAAAAATTACTGAGAGCAAGTTTAAACATTTATTAGGAACTAAAAATGGTAAAAGATCAGGATTATCATCCGTTTTACAATGCATTACAATTTGATTCGGGTACTTAGGTAGTGCATAATTATATTATCCACAATTATATGGGTACCTCAGAAATTAATAGAAAATAAAAATAGCATAAAATAAAAGATACAAATCAAAGTAGATTTGTATCTTTTATTTTATGCTATTTTTTGATTCTACTGTTATCATAACCTAATTATTGTTTTCTGAGACATATACATAATTTTTTTCATTAAAACTAAAAGTTTTTTTTTATAGGCATTTTTATTCAAAAGCTCTGATGTGATACGTAAAGCGCAATGAAAATCTCTTATGTGTTAATTGAAATCTTTTTTATTTTTTTTACTATTATACTACTTTCAATTTCAACTAAAAATAACAAACTTAAAAGCAGGAAATAATATGGCTGATACCTATATTTTTTGTTGTAGTTGGTTTCATCATATTTTTTTCAGTAGACGGTTTATATCGATTTTCTCATAAAGTTGAATTTTACACATAAGAGATCTTAAAGTCGCAACGACGATATGTATACTAACGAAAATTATTATGACAAATATAAAATAGCCAATAAAAAAATATCTCACCTTCTAAGCCGAAAATAAATAAAATAATAACTATAAATAAACACAAATCAAAAATAGAATATCATTCTAATTATTTTAACTACATCCGGAATTAATCCGCCAATCGTAGCTCTTGGCAATAGTAAATGGATGCGCGTACGCACGTTGTGTTTTGACAGAGATGCATGGCGCAGATGCTGCATGATCTAAGTTTCTATGTAACGTTGATTTATTTGTAAATTTTCTGCACATTTGTCATTAGTACACGTTTTCCTCAACACTCTCATCAGACACACCTGTTCCTTTAGTTAGTGGTAGTGTCAAGAAACTTAGAGCTGATTTTTCAAAAGTCAGATAAATGTTATCTGAGGAATAAAATTGTTGCTCTCACTGTCTTATACAAAAAATCTGACGCGACAGCATCATAATAATTCCCTGATACTTTTTATCTATCCATTATAAAATTAGCCTTTAATAAATAGAAGAATTTTAATAAATTGTGGATGATATAGGTCGTGGTGGCTCGGAGGTTACCAAACCCGCTTCTCATGCATGAGGGTGCGGGTTCGAAACCTGGCAAGTACCAATGTGACTTTTTCCGAGTAATATGTACTTTCTATGATTATTTAGACACCACTGACATACGGCGAAGGTAAACATCGTGAGGAAACCTGGACTTATAATTTCTAATTATAAGTTTGAAATCGCCAACCCGCATTGAGCAAGCGTGGTGATCAATGCTCTAACCTTCTCTGTATGAGAAGAGGCCTTTGCTCAGCAGTGGGCACTTATAGGCTGATGATGATGATGATGATGATGATGATGTGGATGATATTAACATTGTGATATAAGTAGCAGGGGATGGCATGATGTAGGTAAGTGCGAAAGAGCCATGCTTAACCACGAATGGGTCGGATCAACCGGAGTGATACAACGGGCTCAGAGAAAATCACTTAAAAAAACTCTTGTAAATTTCGGCGTATGCCTGAAGTTCATGTAGGCCCAATCTTGAAATCTTAAAGCTATAATAAAAAGGTCAGCAAAGCCCTTGTTATTTTTTTGGTTTTCTCCTTTGTCGATCTTTGCAATAAAAGTCACAGTGAACTCTTTCCGCCATAGCCACCTCCAGTGCCCAGGTGTCTTCTGGCTATCATGATGATGAGAATGTAGTAAAACGGAATGCGAATATTTTGGAAAAAAGGATTTTACATCCAAACTAATATTATAAATGTGAAAGTAACGCTGTCTGTCCGTCTTTTCTTTACGCCTAAACTACTGAACCGATGTCTATCTTTGGTACAAATATAGTTTGGAACTCGAGAAAGGACATAGGATAGTTTTTATACCAAAAATCGGCAGGAAGTCACTATTACACGTGAACGGAGTCGCGGGCGAAAGCTAATTATCCAATAAATATCATGTGACTTACTGCTACGAGTTTTAGATAAACGTTTCAATAAGTAAGTATATTATATATATTATTGTAGGTAGTAGGTGTGGTGTTACCTTCCGACATCCCACACCACAAGGCCGCAGCTCATTCATCAGTAATTATGATATCCGTTTAATCCAATATGACCACACATAGTATGTTGGTACTAATATTTGAACCGGTAAAAATAGCGGCACAGAACTGTATGGTGACAGCATTATTAAATGTGGGAGAGCCATGCTTCACGAATGGGCCGGCTCGCAGCCGCCCGCAGGTACTACGGCCTCACAGAAAAACGGCGTGAAGAAATACTTACTTACGTTCTGTTTCGCCGTGAGGTTACCAGAGGCACAATCCCTATCCATCCTCTAACCACAAATCCCCTATCCCTAAATCCCTAGTAACTCACAAGCAACGCACAAGTTTTAAAAGTGTCCATGGGTGGCGCCGATTGCTTATCAGGTTATCCGTCTGCTCGTTTGCCATCCTATTTTTTTTTTTTTTTTTTTTGTCCTTGCTTATCTGCGATCAGTCACAAACTATAAGCAGATTTGTTCTTTGATGATTCACATGTGTAGGGAGCCCCTCAACAGGAGACCCCTCATCCTTCACCACCGGTCACCAAGATGTTGAATATCATGGCGTTTCAGTCGTTTAGTGTAGGTGACAGTTGCTAACGCGGAAGCTAGGTTATTTGGATGGTTTTCCAGACGTGTTTTGTATTTAGTCCCTGTTAGTTTTAACTCTTCCTTAACAGTTCCTACGTTCAGTGCTTCGTGGATCTCTGTGTTGGTAATGAACCATGGTGCATTTGAAATTGTCCTTAAGATTCCATTTTGCAGCCTTTGGACTATTTGTATATTGGAGTTGCTAGCACTTCCCCACAGTTGTGCGCCATATGTCCAAATTGGCTTCAGGATCATTTTATAAATCAACAGCTTGTTGTCTATTGCCAGTTTTGAGTTACGTGCCATCAGCCAGTAGATGTTCCGGAATCGAATGTTTAGCTCGTCTCGCTTCAATTTGATATGCTTTTTCCAAGTCAGCCGTCTATCTAAATGCATACCAAGATATCGGACCGAGTCACATTGTGGCAGGATACTGTCGCCCATTTTTACTGGAGCACAGTTGCCCCTCCTCAGAGTAAATGTTACATGTACAGATTTTGTAGTACTTGCTTTGATTCTCCAGTTTTGAATCCATTCATGTACCTTGTCTAGGCTATTTTGTAAGGCGGCAGATGCTGCGATTGGGTCCCTGCTACTTGCGAGAACTGCAGTATCGTCAGCAAATGTAGCCGTTGTTACGCCTTCTGTTTCCGGAAGGTCAGCAGTGTAGATGGAATATAGCACAGGGCCAAGGACTGATCCCTGTGGAACTCCCGCCATGATGTCTTGTATGGTTGAAAGTTCTCCATCCTCTCTTACTTGAAAAATCCTATTAGTGAGGTATGACTCCATCAGTAGGTAGTAACTATGCGGAAGATACTTTTTTAGTTTATATAGAAGGCCTTTATGCCATACTTTATCGAAGGCAGCTTGAATATCCAAAAATACAGCGGAGCAGTATTCCTTTTTTTCAAAGGACTCTCTTATCTTATCACACACCCGATGCACTTGTTCCACCGTAGAGTGCTGTTGTCTGAATCCAAATTGGTGTTTGGGTATTACTAGGTTTTCGTTAAGTATGGGTGATATTCTGCTCAGTAGGATCCTCTCAAACACCTTGGACAGGACAGGCAAGAGGCTTATTGGTCTATACGATGTAGCGTCTTCAGGTGGCTTTCCTGGCTTCGGGATCATTGTCACTATGGATACCTTCCATAATCTAGGAAAATACTGTGTACGAAGTATTCCATTGAAAAGGACAACCAAGAAAACCAGTGCCTTCTTGGGAAGTTGCACAATTACTTCTTTTGTGATGAGATCAAAACCAGGGGCTTTTTTGTTTTGTAGTCCGTTTATGGTCCTCTTCAGTTCTCCAACAGTAACTGGCTTAGGTGGAAGGGATAGTTGTAGGTCCTGCTGCAGTGTACATTCAACTTCGTTTTCAAACTCCGCATTGTTGCCTTCATTAGGTGTAAAGACAGCGGCTAGATGTTTTGCAAGCAAATTGGCCTTATCTTTACTTGTCTTTGTCCAGCCAGACGGAGTTCTAATGGGGCATTTATATTGTTGCGGTCGGCGTAGTGCCTTTGTTAATTTCCAGAGTGAGTATTCTGTCGATTTTGTGCTAGATAGATTTTCTAGTTTATTTTGCAGTGTGGCATTATTGAGGTCATCTATCAAGGTTTTTAATTCTTTAATCGCTTTATTGAGAGCAGTTTTATCACTTTTGTGTCTAGTTTGATGCCATATTCGACGTAACCTTCTCTTATCTAATATTTTGAGTTTGATCTCAAGAGGCACATTCCCAAGCACTTTGCCAATTGTATCCTTTTTTGGGGTGTTAATCCAGCTGGCTTTCTGAATAAGGTTAGTAATGTATTGAGTTGCTTCATCTATTTCATCTTGTGTTTTTAAGGAGGCTTGCAACTCAATACTGTCGTCTATGTATTCTCTAAAGCCTTCCCAATCAGTAAGACCACTACACAATGCATCAGGCCTTTCGTAGCTAATAACAGTCGTACTAACTGTGAGAAAAACAGGAGTGTGATCAGAGCTACTATCTAGGCATGATTCAGCCTTCATGTATTTTGTCGAGAGTCCTTTGGTCACGAAGAAATCCAACAGATCTG